CGGAGGGGAAGAGTTTGGGAGAAGGAGAGAATCAAATAGAACAGCTGTACATTATACAAATTCAGCGCAGCATTTCAGAGTCACAAATACAGAGAAGAATCCACTTGTAACTGTTACTTGACCCAGGCCATTTGCTATTCATTGGACTCAACACAAGCCATTTGCCATTCAGTGGACACCATCTAAATACCTACATCCAATTTACACAGATTACAAGGTTTTCCTGCCATATCAGTTCAGTTTCATTCCAGTTCAGCTTCTGACACCGCTGCAATACAATTCGCCTGCCTGACAGCCACCCTGTCCAACACCCACAAGCCACAACAGCAACACCAGCGCCCTGCGAAGGCCCTTTGGCCTTTGTTATTTTGGCTAGAAACTTTGCAATGCAAAGAGGAAGAAGCAAACCAGAGCCCTCGCCCAGCTTCCTCCACACCAGGACTGCAGCCGCCACGCGCTGTTTACCACTGCGGAAGCGGAACCCACCTCGAGAGCTCTTCCCCACGGTCTGTCTTTCCTGCCTCCTACCCGACCAAAACAACTGAAATCAGGGGCATTAAGAGCTGCCTGCAGAACCCCAGGGGCAGCCATCCAGCTCACTTTTGGAGGTCTCATTAGGCTTGCTCTTTTTAGCTATGTTTGTACTCTAAATGAAGAGACACAGAGAGCACCTGAAGCCATTAACGGCTCAGGAGAAAAGCCTAGGAAAGAGCTACGTGCTCTCTCCAAGGTATCCGAATCCAGGACAGAAGAGGGAACAACAGTATTTGCACCACGACACTCACCAAGGTCCCGAGAGGCCAGTGACCAACAGCAGGGCATGCTAGCAGTGTCACACTGCCGTCCCTAACGGGACACACCAACACCAGCAGCACTTCCCAAGCAAGGATTCTGGAGAAATTTGTATTTCCCACTCTGTCGTCCTTGGGGAGACACAAGCTGGATTAGGAAACTATTTCTATACCGGGCCTGATAAAAGCGAGTGCTAACAAGACCACAAAACGAGAACACCTGCACTCTAAAAAAAAGTGTAGAAAGGGACCGAGAAGGTCAGTTTATCAACACAGTGTGGCCAGCAAGATAAGGTTCATTCTGGCCATCCCAGAGAGCAAGACCTGAACAGCAGGCAGTATCAGAGAAGGGACGTTCCTGACACTTACACTGTCACCCCAATGCCAAGGATTTCTGCAAAGGAATGAAGTCAGATGGGTACACGCTAGGACTGCGGTTGACGCCAACAGGTACCGTAATCTCGGTTAGTTCTGTATATAGAAATGGAGAAAAAAAAATACAGTAATGAAACCCAGCAAGTAGTTAGGTCATTGGGAACAGGCATAATGGAAGTGTGGGTGGCATCTGAACAGTCTCTGCTTATGTGTCATGCTAGCTTTGAAAAGCTTAGATCAAGCAGCAAGAAAAACCCACAAAATTCACTAACTTGAGCATAAAAATGGATAGTCAAAAGCCAGTGTTTCTTGATAGGTGCCACACAAGGTGCTGGGTTCTTCCTCTTCGGCTCTGCTGCAGCTCACACAAAGATGCTCAGGAAGTTGAGCTAAACCAGCTGAAAAAGGAGCTGGTAGAAGAAACTGCACCACAAACCCTCCCAATAGCACTTACCAAGAGCCACCAGGTTTCAGCAGTGACCTTGGCGACTTACTATTTACACAACTCATCTGCAGCACCAACTGCTACAGTTAGCAAACAAGAGCATGAAAACCCTGTTGTAGTTTTGAGCAGACAGCAACAGTTTGCATTCAAAAAGTTTAACTTTTCCAAGAACTACAACACTAGATTGGCACATTTCTATGGCCAAGAACTCCATATATTCCTCAGGAATCAAAGTTCACAGTTCCATTAGCAAAGCAGATGGATATTTTGCCAGATTTCCAGCTATAACCCTGCACAATAGAGGACTACTCTTTAAGACTGACTTAAGGGGTATTCCAGCTATAAGTAGCTTTCAGCTTTGCTGGCAAATCACCGAATCAGACTTTGTGCACATTAATAACTGGAATATCATGCTTCCAGAATGCACAATACACAGGATATAAAAGTCACATTAAAACAAGAGCTGCATTCAGGATTTGTTTCCATACTGTGTACCTTAATTCACGTGACAAGAGACAGTTGGTTTTGTCCTTAACTCTTGCATAAGGGACAAGGGAGCAGAGATTGAGAGGCGAGAGGGCAGCCCGCTCCCCACTATTCACAATACAGAGCCTCCGGGTTGGCAAAGCCAGGCATAAAACACCCATCCCAACTGTGCCATTTCCATAGGCCAAAAGGTTGTTACTATGGGGTTTTTTTTTCACGTTAGCGTATGAAAACCAGCAATAAAGAGAACTTCTCCTTCAGCTGGGTTGAAGGTTGGTTCTTAATGATATCATTTCTAAGGATGCTCGGCAGTGCTCTCTGCAGTTTTTAGAGGTCATACCGAGACGCCCAAGTCATGTACTCGGAGAAAGACAGAGAAAGACTTTCCCAGCCAAGTTCAGTTATTGTGGTTATTGGGAAACCAGCCTGGAGCCCAGGCCTCCAAATACTTGGAATAACTCATTAAAATAGGATGCTGAGGAGACACGGAGGAGCCTTAACCCTTTGCTAAGGGAAGGCAGAGCATTTCACAGCAAATATCCCTGCTCTGTAGGCACCTTAACTGATTCATTTCCTCTCCTAAGAGTCAAGCACCAGATCTGCCTTCCTCTCACCCCTCTTCTCCCCCACTTTTTACGGGCAGTGGGAATCACAACAAGCCTTGAGCCCCGGGAAGTGGAAGAGAAGCCCAGGAGGGAGCGACAAGAGGAATCCCTAGGGATCCAGGTCTGGATTTCCTCCCTGTGTCGCCCTTTGCTCCCAACACCCCCAAGCCCCAGGATCCAAGACGCCGCTATCCCGCCGCACGGTGAGGATCGGGCTCCCGGCGGGAATGTCCCCCGGGATTCCACAGCAGCGGCTCCTCGCGCTCCCCTTCCCCACGGCACTGCCTGGGGAGCCGCAGGAGCTGTCCCGGGGTTCAGAGGCCTCACCGGGGCTCCGGGCAGCTCCACGCCCACGAGCGGTTCCACGGGCACACGCTGGATGCTGCGGCAGGGGAAAAAAACCCGTTTTGGCTGAAAACTTATTAAAAAAAAAATCAATGAAAATCCCCCCTGGCTGCCTATGGAGGGGGCTGGGAGCCCCCCCCGCGCTGCGGCAGCCGCTCTGCGAGGCGAGACCGGACCGGCACCGCCGGAACCGGGGCGCTACCGGGACACCCCCCACCGCGGCGACCGTTAACGGCCGCTAAGGCGTGCGGGCGGGCCCGGCGCGGGCGCCGGTACCTTTGGCCTGGCAGTCGGCGCAGAACTTGTTCTCCTCCTCGGCCAGCAGGCTGCCCAGCACGGCCTGGTAGCGGTCCACGTCGCGCACCGACTTGCCCGTCATGGCGCGGCCGCCGCGGCGCCCCCGGCCCCGCCGAGCGCCTCACGCAGCGCGGGCTCCGGGCAGCCGCCGCCGCCGCTTCCTATTTCCGGCCGCCGGGGGGGCGGGGGGAAAAGGGGCGGGGCGCCGCGGGGAGGAGCCAATGGGGAGGGGTGGGGCGTGGTCAAGAGGACCACGCCCACTCCGCCTCTCCTCTCCATTCAGGCGCGGCGGCGGGGGAGGGAATGAATGAATGGGCGGGGTCACGTGACGGGCAGGGCTGGGGGAAGCGGTGGGGAGGGGCGGGAGAGGGGGTGGGGAAGGGTTGGGGCAGGGGGCGATCAATGATAGGATGGGGGGCGTGGAACAGGCTATGGGGTGGGACAGGCTATGGGGTGGGACAGGCTATGGGGTGGTGGTGATGGGGTGGAACAGGCTATGGGGTGGGACAGGCTATGGGGTGGGACAGGCTATGGGGTGGTGGTGATGGGGTGGAACAGGCTATGGGGTGGGACAGTCTATGGGGTGGGCCACACTATGGGGTGTGACAGGCTATGGGGTGGTGGTGATGGGGTGGGACAGGCTATGGGGGGGACAGGCTATGGGGTAGAATAGGCTATGGGGTGGGCCACGCTATGGGGTGTGACAGGCTATGGGGGGGACAGGCTATCGGGGGGACAGGCTATGGGGTGGTGGTGATGGGGTGGGACAGGCTAKGGGGGRGTWGGTGATGGGGTGGTGGGAGTGGGGCAGACAATGGGATGGGGGACAAGCAGATTAAAGGGGGCTGTGCGGTGGGGGCAGGCTATGGCATGGGGGGCAGGTTACTGGCTATGGGGTAGGCTCTAGGATGGGGGAGCTGAGTAGTGGGGCAGCACCCAGAGGAGGAAGAGGAGGGTCCCTCCCCCCCCAGCCTTCCATGCTGCCCCTTCCTCAGATCTCTGAGCTCCTCCATGGGGCACGGCCAGGCCCCTGTCAGCACCGGACCATGGGGTGCTGGAGCCCCGGTAGCAACATCCCCCTGATAACCACTGGCGTCGAGGGGGGGCACTGACCTGGGCAAAAGTCCTGGTGGGACCAGTAAAAGCAACAGAGCCAGGGGGAGAAGGCCTGAGGGGCAAAGCAGGGAGTTTAATAAAAAGCTTCCATCAACTGAGCAACAGCACGAAAAGGGGGAAGAAGGACCCGGTAACCCCCATTTGGGGACTAAAGGGGACAATTCTCCTTCCCTGGCCAGCCCATTTCACAGCCCCTCGTGCCGGGCGCCAAGTGAGCAGCATCCCGGCATTCCCAAATAGCTGTGGGCTCCTGCGGGAGGGGGGCCGGGAGGGGGGCCCGGGGACCAGCCCACCTTGCCCTGGCCTCGGGTTGCTCCATATTAATGAGCCTGGCCCCTTCCTCCTCCTCCTCCTCCTCCCGGGCAGGCTGTGGGGCGGCAGTTGGGGCCGCCGCACACCTGAGCGCGGCGGCTCGCGGCACCCTCGCCATGGCCCGTTCCAAGCTCTCCTTCCTCCTCCTCCTCCTCCTCCCGGGCAGGCTGTGGGGCGGCAGTTGGGGCCGCCGCACACCTGAGCGCGGCGGCTCGCGGCACCCTCGCCATGGCCCGTTCCAAGCTCTCCTTCCTCCTCCTCCTCCTCCTCCAGGCCGCGGGGCTCAGCCTGGCCCAGCTCGTAAGTGCTGCGCTCCCCCTAGACCCAGCCCTTCGACCCTCAGCCTCTCCCATTGTTTTCCCACGCTTTCTGCTCGCTTTTCCCTGACCGGGGGGCTCTATCCGCTGTTCCTGCTCGCTCCGTGGCAGCTCTTGTGCTCCTGTCCCATGGGAATCACGCGGTGGCTCCGGAGCTGCGGGAGGGCTCGTGCCCGGGATGCCCGGTGCTTGATCCCTTGCCGGGGGGACCTAGCGCAGCGGAGGGGACACGAGCCGGGGTCCCGGCGGGCTCCCCAGCGCAGGAGGACAAGAACGAGAGCGAGCAGCATTGCAGGGAGCTGCTGCGTTCCCCAGTGCCACCCCAAGGCAAGGGGGGCATCGCCCCTCTGCCACCCCACCCGCCACGAGAGGGGCCATCACCGTCCTCCTTCCCAAACCAATGTTTTAGAGCAGGAACCCTTGTCTGGGGACATCTCCCATCGTGGAAGAGTGGCTGGAGCTGCATCAGCGGCCTGGGGAGGGTCCCAGGGCCCCTCTCCGTGCCCAGCCGGCCCCAGGGGCTCCCGGAACAAAGCCCCCTTTGGAGCAGGCCGGGCTGCACAAAGGTGCTATTCACGGGTGCTGCCGCGCGCCCTGCCAGGCAGGGAGGGGGTCCAAGGTGCGGGCAGCCCTCGTCTGCCCCAGCTCCGCTTTAAAATAAATAAAACAGGATCAGAGGAGCCCTAGACACTGCCCATCTTTCTGGGATTTGGCTTCCAAGAACGCCAGGGAGCCGGTCTGCGGGAGCACTTTTCCCTGCAAATACTCCCTTAGAATAACAGAGCTTTATTTGCAAAGCGCCGGCCGGGGAGCCGCGCGAAACCTCGGAGCGGGGCCCGGCTGCTGCAGGCGCCGCCTAAATGGCGCTTTTGTGCGGGCCGAGGAGCGGAGCGGCCGGCGCGGGCGACGGGCAGCGCTGCAGCGCGGAGCCGGGGCCGGGACGTGGTCCTGATCCGCTGCCAGTGCCCGCATCCCGATGGAAAGCACTGCGTGGGGCAGCCCCCCGGCCGTGGCACAGCTGCTGTCGCCCTGCTGGGATCCCAACTTGTTGGGAAGCCGGGTGTTGATAAACGTGCAGGGGGATCCCAGGTTTCTCCATCCGCACCCTTGCCGGGGGCTTTGGAAGCGCACGGGCTGCCAAGGGCCACGGGGTGGGGAAGCAGGAGGGCTCACCTGGCACCCAGAGGAGCTCATCCCGCTCCCACATCCCTGGGATGGGCACCAAGCGGCTGAGCACCCCCTCCTGACCCCCCTGTGCTCCCCCTGCAGCGAGGGCCACCAGGAGAGCCCGGCCCGCGCGGGCCCCCCGGTCCGCCTGGAGTGCCCGGAGCTGATGGCATTGACGTGAGTGCGGAGCCGGCAGGAGGGAGGAAAGGAAGGAGGGAGGGAGGGAGGGGGCCTGGGGCACAAAGAGGGACATTGTGTCCGGGCTGCTGCCGGCAGCGGCTCTGGGCGGCCCCTCATCCAGGTTTGCAGAGGGACAGAGCCTCCAAAGACACCGAGGAGGCTCCGGCTGCGCTGCCAGGGCAGCCAGCGGGATCCTGCAGCCTGAGCCTCCCAAAACCTTGGAAAACGGGCTCTGAGCTGCCTGTGGAGGGGCAAAGCGGCAGGGAGCGTGTGGCACACGGGGCACAGGGTCCCCTGGCCGGCCAGGCGGGGAGGAGGGTGCTGGGGAGGCGGCCTGGAGGTTTTGGGGGGGCGGTTCGCACACAGTGGGGGTCTGTGCACCGGCAGAAAGGGCCTTTCAGTGCCCCAGGCTCCTCCCTGGCCCCACTGTTATTTTAGTGCTATTTATACCCCAAAGCCGCAGGCTTCCCGCGACCGCACGGATGCACGCGCCGGTCCCGGTCCCGGCCTGGCCTCCGGGCTGGGGGGATCCTGCATCTCCCGGCACCTTTGGGAGGGCATGGGAGGACACAGAGCTGCCTTTGAGCACCCAGCTGTGCCCAGAGGGTGAAAATCGCCTGTTTTTAACCTTGCTCTCCCTCCACAGGGTGACAAAGGCTCGCCCGGAGCCGCCGGGCCCCCGGTGAGTAGCCGGGTCCCCTCCCTGCTTGTGCCACCTCAGCACGGGGACAAACTTCGTTTTCACCCGGCCTCTCTTCCAGGGTGCCAAGGGGGATCCCGGAGCGCCCGGTCCGGACGGGCCCGCGGGGAAGCCGGGCATCGACGTGAGTGCACCGCGGCCCCGGCACGCGGGAGCTGCTGCCCCTGGCGGGTGCCCTGCCCGCTGCTGGGCACCCCCAGCCCTGCCTGGAGCCGTGGCAGCCGCGACCCGCGCGCGCCGGGCGGCTCCGCTGCAGCGGGCACGGAGGGGCCGAGTGCCGCCCGCTGCGGTGCCCAAGCCCGGGCTGAACCCCTGCCACATTTTCTGCCACATTTTCTGCCACATTTTCTGCCACAAAGTGCCGAAATCCCTCCCCGACGGAGCTCGAAGCACCTCTGCTTTTGCAGCGAGATGTGCAGGCAGTGCTGGGTGTCCCCGTTGTCCCCGTCCCTGTCCCACGTGGGGCAAGATCTGCCCTAGACACCCCAAGCACGAACCAAACCCGCCCGTCCTGCACCTAAAAATACACCCGAGGGCCAAGCAGGGCCGAGGGGAGCTGGAGCGCACGCGGTGTCGCCGGCTCTGCAGGACAGACCCATGGACATGACATCCCCGCTTGAAACCCGGCAGGGTGGCGAAGGCAGAGGGAAATGCTGGGAAATGCTGGGAAGAGGAATGAGGGGAAGGCTGGGCAGTAGCCTCTGGCATCTCTCCTCTTGCAGGGCCTGACGGGAGCAAAAGGGGAACCGGGGCCCATTGGCGGGCCGGGAGTTAAAGTAAGTGCTGGGGAGCACGGGCAGCGCGGACACGGCTTCGCTGTCACCGTGCCCGTCCCATCTACCCCGCTGCAGCGTGTGGCACTGCGGGTGTCCCCAGCGCTCGGGGACATCGGGGAGCCCAGGGGCTCTGCAATGGGCATTGCCGGCCGAGTGCTCCCGGTCGCCTCCTGACTCTCCCCTTCCATCCCGACAGGGCCAGCCTGGACTCCCAGGGCCGCCGGGGCTCCCCGTGAGTATCTGCCTGCCCCACGGGTGACGGTGGCACGGGCAGCTCTGCACAGGGCAGAGGGTCTAGGGATGAAGGAGGTGGGCTCACGGTGTCTCCTTTCCTCTTGCAGGGCCCCTCGCTGCCAGGACCCCCCGTAAGTGCTGCTGGGGCTGGGGTGACCACCCAGGACCCCCCGCTGGGTCACACTTGTGCCGGGTGCCCCCTGCGCGCGGCGGGCGCCGAAGGTCCCGCAGAGAGGGGCTGGCTTGGGGGCTGGCCAGGCTCGGATGCTCCCACATCCCTCTTCTTCCGCAGGGGCTTCCAGGCCAGGTCGGACTGCCGGGGGAGATCGGAGCGCCGGGACCCAAGGTGAGGGCAGCGCCCGTGGGGCAGGTACCGGCCCCTCACCCGGCCTTGGGGCTGGGGACACCTAGGGCCACCGCCGCTAACTCTCCTTGGGGCTCCTCTTCCCCAGGGTGACCCTGGACCCGACGGCCCACGGGGTCCCCCAGGGCCCCCCGGGAAACCTGTGAGTATCCCTGCTGCCCGAGCGGGGCTCCGGACATCCCGGAGCTCCGGGGCTCATCCCCATCCTCCGGCAGCCGGGGCTGCACTGCTCGGCTGCAGGGTCGGGACCCGAGCGCCTCGCTGTCCTTCCAGGGTCCTCCCGGACACATCCAGGGGCTGGAAGGCAGCGCTGACTTCTTGGTAAGAGCTGCCCTTACCGTGTGCCGGCCCCGTAAGTGGCTCTGCAGGCATCGTTCCCGGTGGGAATATTGGAGCGGGCTCCCGTTGCCGGCAGCAGGGCCAGGGCATGGCTTCCCTGCAGTTTTGGGGCACTTCCCAGCTAAAACGGGCATCTCTTTTTTTCCCACCAGTGTCCGACCAACTGCCCGCCGGGTCCCAAGGGTCCCCAAGGACTGCAGGGGCTGAAGGTAACGCTGTGCGGAGCTGGCATGTGCCGGGGACGGGCATGGCGCCCGCGTGGGTGCTGCTTGGCCTGCGATGCTCCGGGGAGCTCACGCTGTCCCCCATCTCCCGCAGGGACACAGGGGCCGTCCCGGTGCCCTCGGCGAGCCCGGCAGGCAGGGCCGGCAGGTGAGTGAGGGACCCGCGTCCGCACCGGCCACGGATGGGGCTGGGGGCAGGGGGGGCTCTATGTGGAGCAGGGGTGATGTGGAGAGGAAGAAGAGGGACGGAGAGGCTGGAGAAAGGGGAGGGAAGCGGCTGGGAGGAGGAGGATGGGGTTGACCTTCCCTAGAAGGGGTCTTTCCTGGAGGATGGGGCTCCCCAAATGGGAGACCTCTCCCCAAGTCCCTTTGGGTGCAGGTGACGGGGTCCTGCGCAGAGCCAGCCGTGGGGCAGTGACCCCATGGCAGAGGCTCCCCTGCGCTCACCTCTCCTCTCTGCCTCCTTCCCAGGGCCCCAAGGGCGACGTCGGCGCCTCCGGAGAGCAAGGCATCCCGGGCCCTCCGGTAACGTGGTTAATCCCATCGCTGCCGGTGCCCCCGGGTGCCACCCTGCTCCTGGGCACTGCCTACTGGCCCCAGCACGGAGCCTTCGCCCCATCCCTCCTCCTCCTCCTCCTCCTGACTCGTGCTGGGGCAGCAGGAGCACGTGCGGTGGCCGGGGCACCTCGGAGCAGCCCCTGCCGGCTCCAGCCCCGGTGTCCCGCTGAGCCGGGGGCCCCCCACGCGCCGCCCGCGGCCTCGCGGAGGGGATTAAGCTGCTTGAGCTCGCCGAGCGCTTTGAAGACGGAGCAATTAAGGGGCTGAGCCCTCCGGGTCGGGAAGGAGCCAAATCCCTTTGAAGGCGGCGGCGTGGCGGGAGCTGCAGCCCGCACGGCTGCTCTCACAGAGCCGGGGTGCAGAGAGGGGCCTCCCCATGCACGGCGGGGCTGCAGTGCCCCGTGCTTGGCCAAAACCCCAACGTCGGCGTCTGTTTTAATTGCTCTCTCCTGCCGGGCTGCTTTGGGGGAGAAACCCCCAAACCGCGGGGTTTCCGGCTAAGCCTGTTTGTGCTTCGCTCCCTGCAGGGACCGCAGGGCCCGAGGGGCTACCCCGGCGTGGCGGGACCCAAGGGCGAGACGGTAAGTGGGGCCGGGGTGGCAGGGACGTGGCCCCACGGCTCGGCCGTCCCCACGGGGAGCAGGGCTGGGGGCTCCCGTGGAGCGCCCGCCTTCCCCGTGCTCTTCCTTGCAGGGTCCCGCCGGCTACAAAGGGATGGTCGGGAGCGTCGGAGCCGCAGGGCGGCCGGTGAGTGACGCGGCTCGCGGCGGGCGCTGCGGCTCGGCCCCGGGGCCGCCGCTCAGCCCCGCTCCGTGTCCTCCCGCAGGGCAGGGAAGGCCCCAAGGGACCTCCCGGGGAGCCGGGCGAGAAGGGAGAGCTGGTAGGTGCCGCGCTGCATCCCGCGGGTGCCTGGTCTGCCGGTGCTGGGCGTCCCCTCGAGCCCAGGGACACCCGATGGACAGTCAAATAACGCTGCTGTCCCCGGGTATAGGGTGGCCGCGGCATCCGGGGTCCCCAAGGAGACATCGGTCCCAAAGGGGAGAACGTGAGTACGGCCCTGGCCAGGCTGCGGATCCCGCGCCGGGGGAGGGATGGGGGCTCCTCATCCAGCACGGACGGGTTTTCCGGCGCTCCTGCCACCCGGCAAGGTTGTGACCACTTGCACTGGCTATCCCTCCTTCCGCAGGGTCTCCCGGGCATCGACGGCAAGGACGGCACGCCGGGAATCCCGGGTGTGAAGGTGAGGCTGCTCCCTGCGCGGGGCTTTGCCGGAGGTAAAGGGGACACCAAGGGAAAACATTGTCCCTGCTGTCCCCTCTGTGGGTGGCACTTGGCTGTCCCCAGGAGGACAGGCATCTTCCCTCATCCAGGAGCACCTTGTGCTGTGCACTAAGGCTGTGTCCTTCCCTTGCAGGGCAGCGCGGGGCAGGCAGGACGCCCGGGGCCTCCGGGCCACCGGGGACAAGCCGTGAGTATGGCACACAGGACCCCTCCGTGTCCCCGTCCCCGGGACGTGCCGGCCCCCGCCGCGTGCTGCGCCGCGTGGTGACGCTCCTGGTGTTTCCGCAGGGCTTGCCCGGCCAGCCGGGGAGCAAAGGTGGCCCCGGAGACAAGGTGGGTCTGGCGAGAGCCCCCGGGGACCCGCTCGCTGCCCCTCCGTGCTCCCGGTCACCCCCGACTCTCCCTTGCAGGGGGAACCTGGGCCTCGAGGGCAGCCAGGAGTCACCGGAGCCCCCGGGCAACTTGTAAGTAAAGAGTCCGGTTTAGGAACCATCCGGTTCCTAATGGGAGCTTCTGGTGCTGCTCCTGGCAGCCCCGCAAAGCCTCCTTCCAGCCAGCGCGGCATTGGTTTTCTCTCTCTTTCTGCTGTTTTTTCCCCATTTGCTGTCAAATAAAGGCCAGAATTGGCAGCTTTCCCCCCTCTCCGCCCCCTGCTCCGTGGGACAGGGGATGTGCTCGGCGGAGCCGCTCGGCAGCGGGCACAAACCTGAGCGTGTCGGGCCTGCGAGGAGCCCTCGCGGGGCACGGGCTGCACCCAGGCAGCTGCCTATGGCGGGGCACGAGCTAAGGGCCTCCGCGGTGGCTCCCGTGTGGCTCCCAGGGCCTCCGCGGCGGCTCCCATGTGGTCCCTTCATGGGGCTCGTCCCCCCGGCACATCCCAGGCCTCTGGCTGCTCCCCCTTCGCTGATCCCACAGGACCCGTGGCCGCTGATCCCACGGGATGCTGCTCAGACCGCAGCATCTCCTGCCACCCTGGGGTGGCGGCAGAAGTGGGGACACAACAAGTGGCCTTGGGGAGGTGACAGGGGCTGTCCCAACGATGCCATCTCCCCCAAGCCAGCGGGATGGATGATGCTCGGGCAAAATGCAAAGGAATCAGTTGCTCGTTTGCTGTCCCGTGGGGAATAACTCCCTGCTGGGGACTCTTTCGCCCGTAGGGTGAGCCAGGACCTCGGGGCGAGCGAGGACCGCAGGGCGTCCCCGGGCCGAAGGTGAGTGCGGGGAGCGCGGGGCGCGCGGCCGCGTGGGGACCGTCCCCGAGCGCATCCCCCCTTGTGCCTGCAGGGCGACCGGGGCGAGCGGGGCCTCGTGGGCCCCCCCGGGGAGCAGGGCAGAGCGGTGAGTACCAGAGGGCCCCCCGCCGTGCCCGGCCCCACCAGTGACCCCTTTGATCAGCGGTGGGTTCAGCCGCCAGCCCCGGCCCCCTGGGCGCCGCTGAGGGATTAGCCACAGCGGGGCAAATAGTGCTGGGATTAGCGGGGCCGGGGGGGCCTGAAGCCCGGCTGGGGGTGGGAATTCCTCCCGGATACCCAGCAGGGAGACCGATCCGCTCTCCCTGCGTGGGAGCAGCCCCCAAGTGAGCCGCATGGGACAGCGCGGGAGCGTGGCCACCAGCGTCGCGGGCAGCCCCGGCGGTGTCGGCACAGCTTCCCTGTCCATCCCTGGGAATTCTGCATGGAGTAGTCACGGGCAGTCCTCGGCACGACGGCATCAATGCAGGGGCCCCGCGGAAGCCTCTCCTTGCTCTTTTACAAGAGCATCAGTGCAGCTGGAGAGCTGGTTCCCGCCTGCAGCTGCTCTTCATTCACCTTAACTCTCTCTCCTGCCTGTTACTTGCATTTCCAGGGTGCTAAAGGGGAGCAGGGGCCTCCAGGAATCCCGGGACCCCAAGGCTTGCCGGGAGTCAAAGGAGACAAGGTGCTCACCCTGCGGCGCTCAGCGGCAGCGGGGCTGGTTAGGGAGATCAGATGGGAGAAGCTCTTCAAAGGTTCCTGCAAGAATAAAACAAATCTCTGCAGAAGCCTTTGCCATGGCGGGACAGGTGGCAGCTGCAGCCTCGGTGTTATAGGGATGCAGGGGGTGCCAGTGGGTGCCCTGGCCATGGATATGAGAGGGGCAGGTGGATGCGAGAGCTGGGGACAGTGTTGGGCACAGTGGGAGGGATGGGTGATGGAGACAAGGGGACAGCGCGGGGACCCGGGCTGAGTCGCTCGCAGCGATTCTCCCAGCGCAACGGATCTGCTGTGGATCTCGCTGCAGGGTCCTACGTGTGCCCGGCCTGGGGCTGCAGGGAACGGGGCCCTCGGAGCGGGATGAGCCGGGATCTGTGCCAGTGCAGAGGCCGGGGGCACTGGGAGAGCAGCCGGGCAGGCGGGAGATGCCCAGGCCTGGGGGCAGCCCCAGGGGAGCTTTTACCACATGGGATTTGGTGCCTGTCACATCCTCCTGGTGGCACCAGGAGCCCTGTGAGAATCCCTGTGCCCAGCGTGCCCGGCTCCACGCGGATCCCCATCCCTTGCTTGCTCCCGCTCTCACCGCAGTCTCTCCTGGTCTCTCCTGCAGGGCTCCCCAGGGAAAACCGGTCCCAAGGGCAGCATTGTGAGTATTGGTCTCCCTGCTGCGGGCGGCCTGGGAGGAGCAGGGCTGGGCCGGGTATTTTGTGGGTCTGGCACCCGCAGCTGTGCCGCCCAGGGTGACTCAGGGAGCTCGCAGGGGCATCAGCTGCCAACGGGGCAGCCCCAGGCTCTGCTTTGTGGCATGGGCAGCTCTGCAATAAAACATGTCCAGGGCATTTCCCCTTCCATGGGAAAGCTGCTTTTCCTTTCCCCAAAAAGCAAAGCGCCCGCTCTCCTAGGAGCCCTAGCAGAGTATGAGGGGACAGGAGTGCCAGGCTCGGGGACGATGCCCGTGTCCCTGCAGGAGCCATCGAGCCAGAGGGCCCTGGGCAGGGGGCACTCGCCTCCCGCCTGCATTTGCTCCCAAGCGCCTGTGTTTCTCCAAGCAGCTGAGCGGAGGTGCCGGGGGCCTTCATCCCGGAGCAGGGAGCTGGGACAAGGACCAGGCCTGTGTGTCCCAGCCCTGCGTGTCCCCGGGGCTGCCCGGGCCGGCTCAGCCACCAAGCAGAGCTAAAACACAGCGTGTTTTAGGAGGGATTAGGGAGTTCCCATCGCGCCGAGACGACGGGTGCGGGGCAAGCTTCACAGCTCTCGTTTTTCCCGCAGGGAGACCCGGGCGTCCACGGCCTCTCGGGGGTGAAGGGCGAGAAGGTTGGTGCCCCCCGTGCACGCCAGCGCTGTGGCGGTGATGGGCGCTGCAGAGGGGGCTCCTGCACCGCGTGCGGGGGGTGACAGCGGGGCCACGCGCGTCCCCGGCACCACTGCTCTGCCCCTGCCCCTTGCCATGCTGGAGCTGCCCCTCGTCCCGGCGTTCGTCGATCTGGGCTCTTTCCTGGTCACATATCCTCTATCTTCTGTCCCCAGGGAGAATCGGGAGAGCCAGGGCCAAAGGGACAGGTGAGTGATGGTGGCTTTGGGATCCCCTGAGGACCAGGGCGTTTATCCCAACCTGGAGCTCCCTTCCTGCCCTGCCCACTCCCCACGAGCGGCCCCTTGGGTGAGCTCGCTCCGTCTCTCCTCCCTTTGCAGCAAGGCATCCGCGGCGAGCTCGGCTTCCCCGGCCCCACGGGCGACGCGGGCGCCCCGGGCGCCAGGGGCTACCCGGGCCCGCCCGGCCCGCGAGGACTTGTCGGGGAGCGCGGCGTGCCCGGCATGCCCGGCGAGCGCGGCGCAGCCGTGAGTGACCCCCCCGCGGCCCCCCGTGCCCGCATGGGGCTCTCGGGGAGCTTCCTCGGAGCCTTCCTCACCCGCTGCTACCCTGGGTGCTTGCAGCCATCAGCATGCATCCCCACGCGCTGCCCGGGGGGGATTTTTCCCTAACAGCCCCATTTTGGGGGTGCACGAGGAGCTGCGGGGGGTTACATGGGCCGCAGCGGGGCTGGGGACATGGGGTTAGGGTGCTCGTCCCCGTGCTGGCCGGCCAAAGGGCTGGTGCCAGGCGGGCTCCCGGGAGCGGGGAGCACCCTGAGCACCCGTCCCCGCTCCCAGGGCCGCGACGCGGGTGACCAGCACATCGTGGACGTGGTGCTGAAGATGCTGCAAGGTGAGGAGCCGGGCGCGCGGGGTCGGCGCCGGGCGCGCGGGTGCCATCGCACGTCCCCACGCCCGGCGCGCGCGTCCCTTACAGAGCAGCTGGCCGAGGTGGCGGTGAGCGCCAAGCGCGCGGCGCTGGGCGGCGCGGGGGCCATGGGGCCGCCCGGGCCCCCCGGCCCCCCGGGACCTCCGGGCGAGCAGGGACCGCACGGACCCATGGGGCCCCGCGGCGTCCCGGGCATCCTGGGCGCCGCCGGGCAGATCGGCAACACGGGACCTAAAGGTAGGAGATCCTGGAAAGGAGGGCGCTTGTGGGCAAGATCCCAGGGCGGGGAGCAAAATCTGCCCAAACCCGGCTGATTTGGTGACCTGTTGAGCTTTTCCCATTTGGGGTGCGTTTGGTCAAATGGAGAGGTAAAATTTGGTCAAATGGAGAGGTAAAATTTGGTCAAATGGAGAGGTGGCACTTGCTTTCGAGGGCTCCCTGCAGCCCGCGCGGCCGTTCCTGTGCTCCGTGCGGCTGTAACCCGTCCTCGTGCCCTCCCTTCTCGCGCAGGGAAGCGTGGGGAGAAGGGCGAGCGTGGCGAAACCGGCCGGGGCCACCCAGGAATGCCGGGCCCGCCGGGCATCCCAGGTAAGGTGCATCCCGCGGTGGTGACGGCGGCTCCGGCGCAGGATGCCCGCCGCCCACGGCCGCGCTCTCGCTGCAGGCCTCCCCGGCATCCCCGGGCACGCGCTGGACGGCAAGGCGGGCGAGCGGGGCCCGCCGGGCGCCCCCGGCGAGGCGGGACGGCCGGGATCGCCGGGGCCCGCTGGCATCCCCGGCTTCTGCGAGCCGGCCGCGTGCCTGGGCGCCTCGGCGTACGCGTCGGCGCGCCTCGCCGAGCCGGGCGCCCTCAAGGGACCCGCGTACTGAGGAGGCGCCGCCGCAGCGGGACCGGCCACGCGACACCCCCGGCCAGGGGCCGCCGTCTTGTCACTGGGGCCAAAAACACCAAAAAACTGCAAATCTTGGGACTGAGCGGGTCGGGGAGCCCCTGCCCCATCCCGCGCTCCCGGCGGCGTTTGGCCAGCGGGAGCCCCAAAGGAGGGAAAAAGGAGCAGCGGGAATTCAGTGGGGTCCAGCAGAGCCCCCCGACTATTTGGTTCACGAGGAAGACGACGACTTCGGCCCCATTGCAGTCCCCTTCAGTGGGGCCCCTCCTTTATCCCCTGTGCTCCCCTTGCCCCTTTCCGAAAGAAATAAATTGTCTTTTATACAAATCCTCTCACTCTGATATGTTCTGCTGGGTGCTGGAGGGGAGGGTTTATGGCCGCTCTCCTTTTCCTTGTGTCCTAGAAAGAAGAAATTGTGGTTTGATTATTTAAGAGACTTGCAAGACCCAGCCTTGTTCATGGCTGGGCGCTGCCAGAGCTGTAAATCTTTGTAAAATAGGATTATGTTCCAACTGTTACTAGACGAACACCGACTTTTTAAAGAATGGGCAATAAAAACAAGATGGATTTTAAGGAACAGAAGCCACGTGTGTGTTTTTTGACCAGGCAGCGTTTGGGGCCAGGGAGAAAGTGGGGCACGGGGCCCTCGCAGCACCGCCCCGATCCCCACGTCCCCTCGCAGCCACGCGAGCCAGAAAACTATTAATGTCCTTGGGAAGGGTATTGATCTGCCGGCGGTGCCGAGGGAGCTGTAAGCAGCCCCGCAGGTGTCTCGCTCATTATTTCCATCGACGGGCGCGGGGATTAAAGCCGCGCCGCCGCGGGAGCCGCCGGCCCTCGCTTTGTACCGTAAATAAAAATCAATTTCTGTTTATTAGCGAAGCGTCTTGGGCTTGATAGGGAACAAATGGTGAGGAGCGAGGGGCAGAGCGCCCCGAGGGACACGGGGAGCCGGCCCCAGCGCGGCCCCTGCCCGGTCCCTCCTTTGCAAGCAGCAGACTTTGCCAGGATACGCTTTTTGTATTAAACAAGTGGAAGCGGATTGCAAACGGTTCATCTGCGAGCTGGGATTCAGCCAGGAAATTAAGGAGGCTGCACGTTAACCAGGGGCCAGGCTGGGCTGCTCCGGGCAGCGGCGATCGCACGGGCGCTCCATGTCCCTCCGAGCCCTCCTCGCTATTCCCGACATAAACAGGAGCCTGGATGCAGTCAGAGAGACCGGATAGATGGAAACCTGAACATCGGTGGAAAGAGCGGCTGGAACTCATCCAAGTTCTGCCCCAAATAATAATAAATCATTATAACGAGGAGGTTAAGAAAGAGCCCCGTTGAATCCTTGTCTCGGCTCCTGGGCAAATCAAGAGATTTATCCTCATTTTTTTCCAACATGGATCTTAATAGTGACGGACAGGGGGAATAGACCGTTATGAATGTTAATCCTGGCGCTGGCAGTGGGGGGTTATTTGTCCAGCAAATTAAACTGATGGGAAAATAACTCCCTGGGGGGATGTGGTGGTTTGGGGGGGTCGCCCGGGGGCGTCTGGAGCTGCCGCTGTTGGGAAGCCCTAGGAGAGCCGGGAAGCGCCAGGAATGCGCCGGGAAGCGCCGACCTCTTCCCTCGCTCCGCGAGAGGGAGCTGCCGCCCGCGGAACGGAGCCGGCGCCGCCTCCAGCCCCGTCCCTCATCCCGGGGTTTGTCCTTGTCCAGCCGCAGCAGAGCGGGCCCCGAGGGATGCTCCACGCGGCCCGCGCTGCGTCCGGGATGGAGAGTGGGATGGAGCTCGCGGAGGCGCCGGGGAGTCACCCCGGCTCCCGAGGGGGCTCCGACCTCGCGCTCCGCATCCCGCTCCCCGTGCTGCAATCCCGGCGGGTTTTGGGCAGCCCCGCGAGTGAGACGCCGGCCAGGCCGGTGCCTGGGAATATCAAGAAGATTAGATTTTAATTAAAGTGCCGGGGAGCATCTGCCTGCGGCTCTTGCTCTTTTCTTCTTCTTTCTTTTTTTTTTTTTTTTCCTTTTCTTTGGCCCCAGTGCCCCCGGAGCAGAGACCCCTCTCCCGGCCCGAGCTCCTTCCGGAGCGACGCACAGGAGGGAGCAACCTGTGGATCCGGGCCCCAGAGCTGCTGTGCCCAGATGTTCAACCAGCAGAGGCCGTGTCCAAGCCACTCATAACTGATATTGCAATGCAGAAATGTGCGGAATCTTTCCGAAAGATTGCAGGGAAAGCAGGGAAAGGGCTGCTGCTTCCCCAATCCTGCCTGGAAAGAGGAGCCTAAAAGGGAAAACCCGGCTTGCCCAGGCTGGCCCATTTGGCTGGAGCAGAGTGCGTTTTGTTTTTTTTTTTCCCCTAGTATCCCAGGAATTTAATGAGTTGGAAATAAGTGTGAAAAACAAAAGGAAGGAAATGAAAGGAAATAAGGCTGCGGGATGAATAATGCAGCGGGCTGCGAGGACGCTCCGCCGTGCAAGCTAATGCACTGATGGCACCGCGTGGAGACAATCCTGGCCACACTGGCCGTGCACCCCTGAGCCCCCTGCACACTGAAAACGGGAGTCTCCCCCCGCCTGGGATTATCCCTATTCCCCTGGAACATGGATGGGGGCAGCCCCGGTGCAGACCCCAGCAGGCTGCCGGGATCCCGGGATCCTGGTGCTACCTGTGGCCCTGGAGCACTGGGGGCCCCACGTGCACCCCTGGGGCAGGAACCCGCTGCTGATGCCCGAGGTAATGCCAGGGCTGCAGGGAAGGTTCCCTGCGCAAGTTAATGCATTGATTGCACCAAATTGCCGCCCGCGCCCTCGAGGAGGTAAAAACGAGCTAATCACCGTTTGTTCTCTCTTGATACATGATTAACCACAAATTAGAATATTAAACAGAGGACTCTGGGTACGCAAATTAACAGCTGAGAACTACGCTAATTATTGGAGGAGCCATAAAACTGCTTATTTTTGCTCTTGGAATATAGTTTGATTTTTTTTTTCCTTTCTTTTCTTCTTTCCGTTTCTTCTCCTCCTTTTTTTTTTTTTTTCTTTCTTTTCTTTTTCTAAAGGAGATTTAGTTCTTTTTACTGCTGCTTCTGCTGTTTGCAGCCACAAATCACGGGTGCAACCAGCTCCAGCAGGAGGGCTCCTGGACGCAAGACAGGGGCTCGCAGCGGGAACAGGACCCAGATTCCCGGCACAGAGGTTTGCCCAGGTATAAAGTGAGCCAAAAAAGGCTGGATTTGGGGTCTCTAGCAGCACATACATGTGGGTAGCAGCTTGCAGCCACCTCGGCTCCTTCGTGCCTGGTTCCAGCTCCTTCCTGCCTGGATTTGGCATCGGCACCGGAGCAGCGAGGTGCCTGGCCTGGGGGGGACGCACGTTTCGGGGGGCACATGGGCTTCTTGTGAGGGGTCCCGGCCCTGCCACCAGTGCACGATAAAGGGGGAAGGAACGTGCTGACAAAAGGCTGATTTAATTACTAGAATTGTTCTGATTACAGCCTGCAAACACTGTTATCTTGTAATTATTGCCAAGAACATGCCATTAGTACATGATTAAACACAACGTCTTGTGGGCTGCTAGCTGATTGTCTGATGCCTTATGAACTTAATTACTCGGTGCTGATAGGAAGCACGGGGAAGATGGAGAAGGGCAAGTGCTCCAGAGAGCAGCGCTCCCAGGGCGCCCGCTGGGAGACGCTCCCTCCATCTGCTCCAAGCCTTTTGCTCGGCCCCATCCCGGAACACGCTGCCCTTCCCAGCCCACCTCTGCGCCCAGTAAAACAGCAGCAGGGTCTGGGCTGGCACCTCCGTCCTTTTCTCGCTCCGTTTGATGCTGTTTTGCAGGCGCCAGGTGCTACTTTGCTGCCTGGGTCTCAGCATCACCTCTCCCCGTGCTGGCACTCGCCATGCCCAGGACACCGGAGCCGGGAGCAGCTCCACTTCCCTGTAGGAAAACACGAGCAGCTTCTGCTCTGGGGACCTCGGGCACCTCTTGGGCACAGTCACTCTGCCCTGATGACAAGGACACACAAACTACTCTTGACTTCTCATTAGCAGGGCTAATTCCCAGCCTTGCCTCCTCTGAGACATCAGCCCTTCCCTTGGATGCTGCGTGGCCCAGGCAGGAACAGGCTGGCCAGGAGGGAGAGGTTGGAAAACCGCATCTGTCCTGTTTCCTCCTCCTCCTCCCAGCTGCAAGGTGGACATGAGCATCCCGGGGCTGCTTCCAAGCACTTAGGTGGCCTCAGGCAAGTCACTCATCCCCCAGGATTTCCTACCTTCTGCAGTGCAAGTCCCCCACATCTCTGCAGCAGCTTCAACTCCGCAGCCAGGAGATACCAATCCCAGACCTTCCAAGCAGCAGTATCCTATAAAGTTTCCATGGAAGTGTTGCTGGGGATGGCTGCAGGTGCACGGAGGGCTGGGCTGTCTCATTTGCCCACATTTATGCCAGGGGAGCCCAGGCTGGGCTGGCAGCAGGATGGGAGAGGGCTCAGCTGAGCCTCGCAGGTGCCGCAGCCTGAGGAAATCACCATGTGCAGGCCTGGGAAAGGGAAGGGAAAAGGGGGGGAAATACATGGGCACTGGCTCTGGTAGTCAAGGAGCCAGAGCTCACTAAAGGGTCTATGAATAAAGTATGAAAAGCACAGATTTCTAATGGCTCATAAACATTTAATCCCCTTACGCAGAGCGCGCGTGTTTTTGCAGAGAGCCGGAGCCCCCTCCCATGGCAGCCGCCTGGGCAGAGCCTTCCCGGGGCAGAAACGTGAGGAATGCCGATAGGGAAATGCAAGGAATGCCGATACGGTGGGAAAAGAAGAGGGAAAAGCGAAGCAGCCACGGAGGGTCAGCGGGGCCCTGGCACAGGTGACATTGGTGACAGCCCCCTCTGCACCTTCCCACAAAGGGTTAACATTGCTCTTAACCCATCGTTTCTATTGCAATAACTGCTGCCCCATCAGAAGGCAGCCCATGTCAAAGCTATTTTTGTGAAAAA